CGTCATCATCATCCTCATCCTCATCATCCTCATCCTCATCATCACCATCATCCTCGTCATCACTAGCCCCGTCCACATCACCCTGCCACGATCACTGGTACCATGACTGGCGCATCCTCGTCTTCTTCATCACCAGAAGCAACAGTATCTTGTCTTCTATCATCATCCCCCTGCGGTCCTGTGCAAAGGCCAGAGATCTCTGCAAGGCTTGGGCAGCGGGCGGCCATCAAGCCGGGCAAAGCCGCCAACTTGTGGACACCTTTCGGAGTTGTTGTTTCAAACAAGGCTAGTGCTAAGGCCACCTACTTCCTGCAAGCTTGCCATCCATGCGGCAGATAGACATGTTTTGCGCCCCGACGCTCCATGCAGCAGTCTTTGGCCATAACCGATGCAAGAGAGGTCCAGCTTCGGCATAGCTATATCACGCATGAGAAAAGAAGGGGCAACCCTCATCCGGGCGATCTTATGAAATTCTTCAATCGATGAAGCTTCTGCTTCCGTGGCAGCGTGCACCTTCAGGGAATGAGCAGTCTGGAGGGCACTTCGCAACTTGTTTCAGATATCCTGAATCCAGAACCTCTCAGAGCCTTTCGGCAAAGAAATGATGTCTAGTATCTCTACCACTGTGAATGCGCGCAAGAGCCTTCCGACCAGTCGCTCCGATGGCCGCTCCATGGCAGTGCCCTCAGGGCCGTCGTGAAGGAGATGCTTGGGCTTGCGCAGGGTAGGCCGGAGCCGGCAGCACCACAGACCCGGCATTTAGCGGAGGTAACGTTCTTCCGGAGCTTGTGGTGGGTGAGGCAGGGGAGGCACGGGCAGCAAGGGCACCTGCGGTCGTAGCGGTTGGGTATCTCTGGCCATCCACGCGGACCCTCTCGCCCCTTGCATTTACGACATAATGGTAGGGAGCGGTGTAGAGCTGGTTCATGGGTCGAAGGCCTCCTGACAATGCCGGGGTGGCCATCGGTAGGCCCACAGGAATCGTGCGTGCTGCACTAGTTAGGAGCCGATCCGGGGGGGAGCTCTTCGTGCTCTGCTCGCCGTTTGCTCCTCCTGCTCCGTTGACGCTTGCTCCTTTCGTGGCCTCTACCACAGCCACGGCTGCTGGCTCGTCACGCGCGGCCTGATCTCTCCAACTGTCCCGCTTTCGATGCCTTGCCTCCTGGGCAACACGCGCAAAAAGAAGCGGTAATGTGTGCTTGGAGGTTCGTGAACGTGAACGTACTTGTGCTGCACAGTCTACTTCCATGACTCTGTATCCCTGCAAGCCCCCTACTACTGAACACTCTTTTCCTTGAGCCTTGGACCTGAAGCGCAAGAAGCCTTGAACCTCGGCTGAAGCACTCCCGTCCTTGCCCTTTTCGAAGAAGCCTTGATTCGACCAGCTCGGCCAGCAGGCCACCTAAATCGATATGAGGTTGAGGGATTCCTTTGAACTCTTGCTCTTATCGTCCGTTCATAGGAGCATCTCATGCACATGAACGTTGCTCAACAACACAGAGGTCTTCGGTCCGAAAGGAACTCCAGCAATGTTCATTCGCAAAAATCTAAACAACGATGACTAATCCCAAACCGTGAGGATTACCCTCGTAGGTTCGTCATTACAGTATCATGCTTCCATAAGCATCATCGTCATCACCATACCGTCGCGACTTCGTCTTTCTGCCAAAGCTGTTGTGGCTTGCTGTTGTTCTCATCCTGTCCGAAGTAGCAGGTTCCTTGACCCAGGCACTGTCTCATCGTGCACTTCGTAGCCGCGCTCTTGCGGACAAAGACGATGTTTGAGCACCTGGCACGCTACACTCAAAGCCCTATCCGTCTGGGTTGGGGTGCTAGATCATGCGGGAGTCTGGTCTGTTGGAGTAGTGCTCGACTGTTTGGGGCTTCTTGCAGCACTGTCGGGCTTGGCCCTTAGGGTCTTGGACTTCGACTGCATGCATCGAAGTGGCATAAATGGGATTCACGTTCCACCAGGAAATCCCCGTATCTTCCATGATCTGGCCGTAGCCAGGATCTGTGCCGTCCATGTTATCGACATCCTTTCCTGCTTTGCTGAAGGACCACCTGGCCGGTTCAGACTTCGAGCTTACGAGATTCGGGACAGAGGTGCCCAGAGAACTGGCAGTTCCAAGGCCAAGTTCAAGTTTGCCCACCCAGATGCGCAAGAGAATCCGGTTCGATTCTAGACAACTGAGGCGGCGGCTCAATGTAGAGGATCCCGGCCAAGTAGATGAAGAAAGTTAGGAAGAAGATGAGAACGAAGATCAGGATGGCAAAGGGCCATTCCGTGATCTCTTGTAATCGGTAGGCCCACACCGCAAAGGAAGCAGCGCACTGGGACAACACGAAGCCCCACACAATGATGAATGAGAAGTAGGTGCCGTCTGAATCGAATTGGGACTTTCCATACCTGACCCAGTCGCACGGGGTCTACAACCACATGTTCAGCTGCTGCACGCAGGCACGAAAGTCAAGGTAATCACACTACAACAAGGTGTGTAATCCTCGCTTGGTGATAGTTGGAGCCGCAGGTACAGCCACAGCATGACATAGCGCTGCCAGAGGAAGAATAGCAGGCTAAAGCACAGCAGTGCCTGCCAGACTTTCATACCTTGCTTCTGACACGTTACCAAGCAAGTCGTGTTCAAGCTTTGACAATATCACTATGTGCCAAGCCTAAAACTCCAAAATGCATACAACCAGGGAGGCAAAATACTGTGATCGACGAAGTAGACCGACGTGAGAGCAATGGCCGGAAATAGAATCACATAGGTATACTCCATCCACAGCAGCAGCGGCACAAGCACCTGTGCCTTTTCGGCTTCTCCTCAGTCGTCTTCCCGGGCGCAGGGGACGGCAGAGTCGGCTCTCTGGATTTGCTTGCTTCTGCTAAATCCATCACTGCCGCTACAACAACCACAACAACCACAACAACAACAACAACAACAAGTACTACTACTACTACTACTACTACTACTACTGCTGAAACACCAACGCCAACACCAACAAAGACGACGACAACAACAATAACTGCTATTACGAACCCGAACAGGAGACGCACAATCATAACACAAGAAGCCTTCTTCACATCACAGAAATCATATCAAACAGTAACAAATTGCAACTAGGCGTTCCACATACTGCAATGCAACACAGAGTGTGTGTGTGTGTGTGTGTGCGTGTGGGTTGATGCTTCGCGAGAGACACGACAGATCGCATTGACTGTCCAAGTGGAATAGTACCTGTCTGCCTGGCGTACCGACATGCGGGCAGGTGTGACCTGCCTGCGAAAATTCTCCGTCGTTTGTCGATCTCTCTACCAATACTCCGTTGCTCAACCATAACTGGATATGTATAATCTATGTGTATGTACGTATGTATGTACGTACGTATGTACGTCTGCATGTGTGCATGTATGTATGTATGTGTGCATGTATGTATGTATGTATGTATGTATGTATGTATGTATGTATATACGTATGCATGTACCGGCACAATCTACTTGCCTTGGCAAGCCGCTGTGCGAAAGCACCGATGGGCTTCTAGTCTTCGGGAGTACGACCCGCAAGAGTCTCTGAATTCGCGACGTGGGCGTTCCGCCAATGTTTGAGATGAACACCGCCCGCAACGCCAACCAGAAGAACAGCACGGGCCTGAGTAGCCAGGCTGGAGGGCTGGAGGGCGAACATACTGCCAACACTTCTACACCGTGAAGCTGGTCCGAGCACCTAGCGCAAGGACGTTGCCCACCTCGCCCAGAACATAGAGCCTCGATGTTCAATGCGCAAGCACACGGGGCCCGAAGCGAGAGAGACTTCGGCTTGCGGCTGGGCGGCATGATGGTCTGCTCGGTGAAAACCGACAACAGGGCATCGTAGGCTCGAATCTCTGCCAAGGCCGCGAGCAGCAAACCTCGTCGCCATTCCCACCATGCTGCGGAATACTCTTCTTCAGGCGGAAGGATTGTTGGGCGCATCCCAACTTTATCACATTCTTGGTACACGATGTAAAGCAAAGTGATTACCTTGGGCATTTTCGCATGAGAGTGTGACGTGCCAAGCCTGGACTTGCCTTGCAGGTTGCCAAGCTAAGCGCAGCACCATGAGAAGAGTGTTCCAGATGAAGGTGATCTCGTCGACTTTCGAAACCCGAATGAAATCGCAAGCTTCAACATCAAACGCCACTGCCGTCTGTATCGCGAAGTTGACAAGCAGCACTCCTCGGGTGCTGTAGGGAAGAAGCTCCTTTCGCTTTCTCTTCGAGGACTTGAACGACTTCAAAGTGGGATACTGTGGGTCGCTTCAGTGCTCGGGGCGTCGGCGACAAATGCAGGGGGAAGTATCGAGAAGTGCTGTTGCACTGTGGCGAGCTTCCGTTTGACATCCCGTGCTGCTTTCTAATGCGAAGACTCGCACCGCGTTGTGCAATTCTCTGAAGGAGACTTCGACTAGCTTAGAGATGTTCTGGCTTCCATTCTGTCAGCAAACACACAGCCCGCACTTAAACAAGACACTTCCACATCCAGCAAGAGGATAAATCTCGGATGCAGGCGTGGGTATTGAAACCAGTAGGGTTGCCTTATGAAATGGAACGCTACGGCTGCGCACCCGCTACCTTTAGCCCTGTGCAAAGAAGCTGCCCTTGCTGGCGAGTTGGACTCCCGCTGCACCGCTTGAAGCTTCCATTGCGCAGTCGTGCCAGGGTTTCTGCATAAAGTAGAAGAAAAGCTGCGCAGACACAACATATATCAAAATGTAGACGAACTGGCGTGCGGGCAAGACGGACAGCGTCCAGGCCCGTTCGGGGCCCGTCAGCTCCGCCTTCTCGTAGCGCAGGCCGGCGGGCTGATCGCCCCGGTTCACGATTCGGACCATCTCGAGCTCGTCCGATGTAGAAGAAGGATCCAGGATCTGCTTCCGGATCCCACTCCTCTCGCGGAGAACTCGGAGCATGGCAGACTGCGTCTGGAAGACGACGTACGCCCGGCCGCAGCAGCGAATCTCGTTTCGCATGATTTCCCGGAATTCTTGCTCATCCTCCTTGATAAAATGGATCAGGTTCTCCTCTGGCGCAGACACGGTGGCATGAGCCCAACCGGTCCGTAAGTCATCGAGCTCAATGATGTGCTCCAGCATATCCTCCAATTTTTCCTGTGTCTCTGATGGTAAGTGGAGCAAGTCGTAGAGGATGCAAACACCATAGATTCTGCCTTCCATACTCAGCTCCTTTTCCAATTGCTGATGCAGCTGCTTCTCGGAAGTAACATTTTTGGGAACACCCTCCAGCATTAAGGTGTAGTCGTCTTCCGTCTGGTGATAGGAATCGAAAGACTTCTGGAACAGCTTTTGATAATAGTGGAAAGCCCATGCCAAAATCACCTCACATGGGCAAGCTTCACATGCAAAAGTTCGGCTCGACGCAGCATAGGTTTCGGCAAATGTCCTACCCCAACCACCCTACAGCGTTAGGCCCCAAACCGCAGGCAGGTGGCACTGGCCATCCAGAAAAGGACACCGAACACTTGGCCCATCTTCGCGCGCTCGTACTCACGGCCGACGAGACGGCTCTCGAGATGCCTGACAGATCTCTTTTAATATTATACTATGTTACGTAAGTTCGCATGACATTATTTTGCTTGTATCGCTTTATGGTATATTTAATCAATAGAGAAACTTAAGATACGCGCCTGTAGTTCTTGTGTGTCATGAGCAAACAAATAAATATGGATAAGCACAAGTATCTACACACATGTCTGAACGCATCTCTGTACATATATACACATGTATGCATGTGCGCACCTGTATATACATATATTAATATACATATACATAAAAGGTATGTATGTGTGTGTGTGTGTGTGGCACGAATGGAGACTTTGTATCTTCGTATGTATGAGTTGCTAACCGCGCACTCGCGCGGTCAAATTGTCCGGGTGCTAGCCCCCCTTGGGAATTCATCTGGTAGTTACTCTGACCCTCATGTAGCACCCTGATAGTAGAATCTTCATTGTAAGAAACCCCCTCAATCGGCTACCCCGAAACTTGAACAAACCCCAGGTCTCTGGCTTTGAAGCCCCGGTGCGAGACGAGGACTTCGGTTGAAAGGGCTTTACCGCAGGCGCCGACAGTCAGACTTTCACAGCATCTGCACAACGGCAAGTGAACAGAAAGGTAAACATGACTTTTAACAGGTAAACGGTCATATAAGCACAGACATGATACACGCATTTGATAAGTGTGTACATATATACACACATGTACAGAAACTGCACATGCACTTCTGTATTCATTGACGGCGAAGCCAGAGTCATGACACAACACTATCACGGTTTTGCATCTGCTATGCAGAGACCCTGGAGCCTGAGCTCTGCAGCCGAAGCGGGGCACGTCGAGCTCGCCGTGTTCGCAATGGCAACCAGCGAGTCTCCTGACACTCCATGGGGTGCTCTCAATACCAGGCAGTCCTCTTTGAAGGGTTTTCTTTCAGGTCTGTCCATAAATTCCGGCTGCCTACTGTCTGAAACCGCCACGTGCTCCCAGAACAGAAGCTTCAACTTCGTGTCGAGGCGTGTCAGATACTTGCATGTATTCAAGTCCTGGGGTAGCTGCGGGAGTGAGCAGATAGGACATTGCCAGCCCAAGAAGGCTGAAAAATATCAGGAAGATCTGCGTGTTGTAAAACCTCAGATGCGAAACCTCAAGAGTCTTCAAGAGTCTCAAGCCGAATTCCTCACACGATGTCCAGTGGTCGCATTGCGCAACATCGCTAAGCATGGAACAGCTGCAGCCCGATTCCCAGGTCATCCTGTTTGTCAAAAGCCGCGCGAAGAAACCTGCGAGTCTGCACAGTTCTAAGCTCGCATGAGGCGGTCTTTAAGTCTAGCATGAGGTCCGATCCACATCAGTGTTCAAAATCTTTCAGAGTCATTGCCATAGTCGGAGACACGGCCCGTCCTTCGTATCTTGTTTTCGTCCCTTCGCTTGGCCCTCTGAAGCGAATTGAACTTGATGGAGGCCTCGCCAAGACGCCGGGCAGTCAGATTATCTCGATGTATACTCGTACCCATACCCCGCCCCTTTTTTTCGAGAAGCCCGCCTGGATACTGGTCTTGAAGCCATGCCTTGAAGAGGGGCAGCCCGAACCGATGCTGCTGGGGAATTAGGCTCTGAAAGGAAGCTGGCCAGATATGCCAAGCCACGAAATCGCATTTGCGTTGCGCAGTTTGGCCTGGCAAGCAAGTGACAGCAAGGCAGTCTCTTGTAACACAGATCAAACTGAACCTGTCCTGGCAAGTACTTATAGGAAGTCTGGTTTCAGAAGAGCAAGTCACAGGTGACAATCCCAAGACACAGCTCCACCAAATGGCTTTTGTCGAGCTGGGCATCCCAATGCACGGTGGCAGTGATCTCTATCACGTAGACCAAAGGCGGGACTGTTCCCGGACATGTTCCACAGCTACTGCTAGCTTCGCTAGAGTCTACAGACTGTAGCACGGCAGAGACTGCTACGGACACTCTAGCAAGGCCGCCATGTACTTGCTAGGAGCAACCCTCGACCCGGAACGATGAATCCTGCATCAAGAGACGACTGATTAATGATTAGGTGGTTCAACAAAAACCGTTGTTTGTGCTGGCAAAGCAGAGGCCAGTCAATTTTCAGCCTAACCCCAAGCTTTGCAGAGTCTTGTTGAGTTAGCATTCCAACACCATTGCGCCTCCTTCGCGTCCAATTCCTGTATTGCGGTCTCATCGATCTGACTTGCGCTCTGCATCAAGGGTGCCTCGGGTTCTGCTCTTCGAATCACTACTCGCTACAGAATGCTTGCAAAGCTCTTCTTGCTGCAACGACACTCCCAAATCTGCAACTGTCGCATTGGCTTTGCCCTTGCTCCTGTGCAAACACATACAGAAGCTGTGGGGTCACGACGCGACCCGGAAGCATGCCTCCAGCTCTCTGCTGCTGCGACGTAGCAGGTACCGACCATGACAAGCACTACAATGATCGTGATGACCTTGCGTGCGTCGAACTGAAAATGAGGATTTCTGCAAGAAGCTCGACATGTACGAACCATCACATGGACTGCAGCGTAGTGGCAAACATCAGAACATAGGCCGTGATGACAACTGCGCCCTGCCCCACAACAACGCACTCCTTAGCTCAGGCGATGTCGCTGAAACGATTGCGCGATCTTGTCCAGCTGAGGTACATGTGTGCCATCCCTTCGTTCCAGAAGCTCGAACCCATCCTTAGTCACAGTCACCCGTGCCGTGGCAAGGGAGAGGCTAATCGAGACACGCTGCAAGACCGTCCCCTTGTCTTGGCAGTTTTGGCATTGGGGTTCGCTGACAAACTCATGGTGCTTGTTGCACTGTGCCTGACCGATGGTGCTGTTGCTGCCGCAATCAAGGTCGTCTGTCTCATTGGTGCTGGTTGTCTTGCTTTTGTTGTGGTCGTTCTCATTCTTCTTGATCCCACCTCTGCGCTAGGCTGCAGCTGAGTTTCAAAGCAAGCCAGGCATTGAACAACGCCATCTCGCTCAGGATAATGGCAAGACTTGCAAGCCGTTACAGGGCAGCTGGTGCCTAGGCATGGGGCTGGCAGAGTTTTGGTGGGGCTTCGGCCGGGAATCGGTCGGGCCTGTGGCGAAGATGACACATTACGCAGTTTATCTACGTGACAACGCAAACAATTATTGTTTACAGCAATATGTAGGAAATCGAAGCAGTCTTCCAACGGCGTCTTGCAGACGAAGTGCACAGCTTGTCGTCTTCCCACGGGTTGATTGAAGGTGCTTGAGGATTTAGCTTCGCGCATTCTTCTTCTGACGACACGCAGCTCACCAGGCCTGACCAAACTTCCACGAACGGCCGAACGAACAAAGCGGTGACCAAAATCAACCAAGTCTCTCTATCTCGCCTATTTGTTGGACGAGCAGCATGGATAGCCGGGAGCGGGCACTGCAAGTTTACAGGCTCCATCCGTAAGTTTCGCGCACGTGGTTTGCTGCTCGTCCTGGCTGTCTGCTGCATTTGGTTCGCGCGTTCGCCCTCAGATGCACAAATGCGAGAAAGTGAACACCCACCTCCACCAAGCGGAAATAGTTGCCAGAGGTGTCCACGCGCAGGAGTTCAGCCGTACAGTGGGACGCCCCTTGTGTGACCAGGCTGAAGCAACATAGCACGAGCAGATACTTCTGCATGGCTGCCGTCTAGACGACAAGCCGTTGTATCGTTCGTGCAAAGCATGCAGGAGGCTCTGTTCTTATGACCAGACATGCATCACTGCACGACATGTCAACATGCTCTGCGTCCCGGCAGACTGCAATCAAATTCTCGGGCCAAATGCAGAAGACGATGATGCAAACGCGGTGGGTGACGATGATGGTGATCATGCGGATGATTGTGCAATTGGTGTTGTTGCGACGATGTTTGCGTGACGATGATATTTGTGCGATCTTAACGTCATGAACACAACGCATAATCATACCTGATCGTCACGGCCATTGCAGTAAGAGCCGTAATGGCCATCATCGTCATCGTCATCATCATCAGCAGATATCAGCAGCATCATGATGAGCATCCTGGCCAGCATCATGTTAGGCACACCGTCTTGGGGAATGACTCAGCAGCTGAAAATAGCCTCAACCTGAGTAACAGTAGCAGCAGCACGACCCCAAGGCAACAATCCACTTATGCCACTGTCCAGTCCGTCCTGGCTCCGTCTTTCTCCGTACTCAGTCATGCTTGAATTCAGCCCGCAGCTAGTACTGCTTTGCATATTCTTCTTCATGCCAGCTGCTGACAGGTACCACCCCAGAAAGCTGTTCAAAGGACGTGCTTGATGTCTGCTGGACCTAGACCGAGTCTGCAGTGGAACACACACACAGACTTGAGTATACGCTGGATTCGCACGTGCCGATCGACAATCCTTTTTTTGTTTTCTCTCTCTCTCTCTCTCTCTCTGCTAGGCATGACGGGCGGTTCAGGCCCCTCCGGCCCGATGGCCCACCCGCATATTCGGGCTTATGGAGGAGTGTAAGACGAATGCTTCTGTCTCTCTCTCGCTCGGTGGAGTTTGTGGCGTTTTCTTGCACGCCCACACCCGTCGTGCCACAGCACAGCTCCACTTGATGGTGCTGCGCCCCCTCACTCCAAATGGATCTATGACTCCTTTGATACTTGAGGGGTCCTGGGGCGTCCATGCGCATCCATTTGGCTAATTTTGGGGGCTTCAGTCCTCGATCTTTGGAGGACTCGACTAGACAAAGAGTTCTGCTTTCGAGCATTCCGAGAGCCTGTACGTAGGGGTTGTAGCCGCAGCAGAAGTTCTTCAAACGAAACTCAACTGCTGCGCAAACTTCAACCCGGGCACAGGTGGTTGCTCGAGCTGCCTGAATTCCTGGAGCTTCTCCCAGCCCTGTGATGCAATCTGCTGGCAAGTTCCAAGCAGACTTGCACCTCCGTTGGCTATGCCTGCAATGGCATTTGCGATACTTCCAGCATCGCTCCCGCAGATTCCCATCTGCACAGTGTCACCGCAGCGTTGGGCCGCTCCGGACAAGTAGGACACGACGTTAGCGATGGCCGCAATGATCAGCGTCACCGTTGCAGCGCAGCTGGCCTTGTTCAGGGCACCCGTGGTGTTCCTGCAGCCGAACCGTGCAGCCACGTCGATGAACACCCCGGCCTGCAGGTGTCTCCGTGCCGAACCGAATGCTGGACGAGTCGAGCCGTGTTTTCCAATATGGCTATTGCTTTTTGTAGACACTGTAGACTGTAGACATTGCAATTGGCTTGTGATGTGACTTGGATGCGGTTCTGAGAGAAGTTGTTTATGTGAATGTCGAAGTTGAGTTTGATCTTGATGTCGTCGTTGCTTTGGTTCTTGCCGTTGCTGCCAGACTCAAACAATTTAAGATGGCGGGTGTTGTTGTTCAGGGCTTCGGTGTTGTGACGATGCAAGCAAGGTCAATCTCGCTCCACATCTAAGTTGGCGAGTGTTTTTCAACACGAGGGTACGGTTAATGATGACGAGAAAGTGGATGAGGATGACCGTCATGAAGATGAATGTGAGGATGACAACGATGATGATGACGGTCAAGAGTGTCACGGTTATGGCGTGAAGAGGATGAAGACCTCTGTGGCTAGTACCAGGGTTGGGCTGGTGAAGTAATTCTGATGTGAGCATTGCCGCACATGAGATGAAGAATTTCTGATGTGAGCATTGCCGCACATGAGTAGAGAATCATTGCAATTCCTGCTATTGCCGTGGCTGCCATGATGTTTTGTTCCTGGTTCACGATGGAAGCAGTTATGGTTCGTGCCTGTACTATCACCAGTAATTACACCGTTGCACCATCGCCACCATTTCCATGATCATACAGATGTACAGCATCACTACTTCTTCGTCTTCATATTCAGATCTTTCCTGGTTGTCCGAATCGTGGTGGACATCACTGCATGGTCGATGTTCTTGCACTCTTTCTTCCGCCTACTTCTTCTCGCCCTACCCAGTCACTTCCGCCACCAAGCATAATCAGTCGTTGTCACCGTTCTGATGGCATGACTGTTGTTTTACACTCCCCTCCCCCCTGCAATTCACCGTCATGTTTACCTTCATCCCCAAGACCATATTTCACACGAAGCCCTACACCATATTCTCATTATTATGGTCATCATGGTCAGAGTCACCGTCGGCATGTTCATCATCATCATCATCATCACCACCATCATCATCATCATCCTCGCCGATCATCATCATCATCATCATCGCTGATCATCATGATCATCATCATCATAGCCGATCATCATCATCATCATCATCATCATCACCATCATCATCAGCATCCACAGCATCAGCGTCGATCATCAACCATCAATCATCAACCACCATCATCACCATCATCATGGTTACCATCACCAGCATCATTCTGCCGCTTAGTCTTGCAGTCTTGCTGCTATTGCTCTATGAATCCTTCTCTATGCGCGGGGTCGAGCCGGACTGCAAAAAGAACCGATTCACTAGAGTCTTCCGTTGCGGCGAATCTTGGTGGAAACCAGCTTCACGAGAATCATTACCAGCAATAGCAACGTGCTGGCCCATGCCTGCGCGAAGTACACGGCGGCCTGCGTGACGTGCACTTGACACCAGGCCGCATCCAGCTTCTCTTCGGGAGACCCCAGGCCCGGTGCCAACTGCCGCGGAATCGGCGCCGGTGGCGCAGGGGACGTGAAGTCGTTGAAGCGCTTGGACCAGCCACGATCTCTCAGGAGCCGCCTCGAGGAGTTCAGAACTGCCTGGGCCGGTTGGCAACCGCTCACCGCATCCAGCCCGGCTTCCAGCGCCTCGAAGATGTTGCCCGGGAAGCTGAGTACCACTGAGGCACAGTCGGCTGGCAGATCCGTGACATTGCTGCATTGGGTGACCAGGCCAGCAATCCAGCTGCCTGTGTTTACGAAGGACTGGAGAATCCCGAAGATGTTTCCGGCGCACCCGATGCGCTCGTCACCGGTGTCGGTTCTCTCGCAGCCCATGGTGGCACCGTAGATCTCCACGAGCGCCTGAGAAACCCCGCAGACCCTCAGCGACCCCTCGGTCAGAGTTCATGCACTGCTCTGTCAGAGGGCACAAGTACTTCCAAACACATGATCTACGGCGGCTACAGTAGAATACGTTCCGAAGCAGTCCGGAGCCCTGAAATGACAACAGCTTTTGCGGCTCCTGATCCAAGTAGAAAATAGAGGCCAGCACATTCCTTAGCTCTTCTCCGTGGAATCTCAGACACTGTGCCCTGCCGCAACCTCTGACAATGACATGCCCTGCAAACCAATTCCCCTGACATGGTGTGTGAGCCTGCAAGTCAGATCTTACAAACGTCGCAAAGTTGGACTCCTGCAAAATCCTCACGCCCTGTCTAACGGTAGCCAAGGCGCACCGCGCAAATGGCCTGATTGGAGGCTTCCGTGGCAAGAGGGGCGTTGGCGCTCCTGGCGTCTGACAACATGGCAATCGGCAGCGGCAACCGAGGACAGCAGTTTAACATGGAAAATGATAGTATTGATGGAGGCCAAGGAGGTGGAAGCTTCTCAGTGCACCAGCAGTGCTTCAACCCCCCCTCCTTAAAACAACAACTTGCGATTGAACACATGTGTATTACAAAGCATCGGAATTCACTGTGGCCCAAGGGTAAAATCACCCTACGAGTACACGGCTCTGTCACATGCAGAGTTCGGCGCCGTTTCTTCTGCTCGATTGTTCAGCTCGGCCTGCAATCCCTCGGCCTGAAAGAGGAGCCGCTCGACTTGGCCGACGGCTTCGTGGGCACTCGGAAGCACCATGGATTCTGCGTCTGCGATGTCCTGCTGCTCCAGCCAAAAAGAGCGCATAAGATTGCCTTCAGGTGCAAGGACGGCTTGCAATGCCGACAAAACCTCAAGGCGCGAGAGGCGAAGAGCCTTCAAGGACTTCATGAAGGAACTGAGATCTTTCTGTAGGGAATCGTCCGGCCTCTTCCCACGACGCCGCAAGCTCTCCAGCCGGATGCTGGCACGCACGACGGGGTTGTCAGAGCTTCCGCTTCCGTCCAAAACTTTCCAAAGGGTCGGAGAAGGCTCAGCGGCAGCGTAGCAGGTCGACCAACCACCCGTCGGAGGCTCGAGTTCCTCCATGTCTTCGATGCTCTGATACCACGGTGGCCGGCCAGGCCCTCCGGGCCAGGTTCCATCGCAGAGCTTCCAGAAGAGATCGAAGTAAATCGCCCCTGGACCTCCTTGCTGCACGTAGGAACGCTTGCCGTTACGGTCACCCACGAATTCATAGATGCCGTCCATGTCGGATCTCCCGGCGCCCTCGACCTGAATATCACCCACCTCTCCACCTGTGGCTTTCGGAGCGAAGGCAGCCAGGAGCCAGTTTCGGATCTGCTTTGAGATCTCGGGGTCCCGATCCCAAAGAACGTATTGCAAGCAGAGCAAGTCTAGCTCGCTCACACTTCGACCCCCTGCTGCGAAGGCGACGATCTGGACGAGCTGTGCAGCCTTCGCCAAGCGCCGGTCCGAGATGTGCACGGGACCGCTCACTTCTTCCTGCAAAAACTTCCGTAGCCGCGCCAGCATCTGCAGCAGCCGCGGCGGGAAAACCACGCGCGACGCGGCCGCTCGGACCTCGCGGCCCAAAGCTGGGCTGAGTCTCATCGTGGGCGGCTCTACGGCCTGCTCAGTGGGGGCAGCTGCGGCCGCCAGCAGAGCGCGGGCCTGTGCATCGGAGACAGACGTCACGAAGCGCTTCAAGAGGAAACGGTCGAAGATGGCGTCAAGGTCTCCCTCAGCGGGTATCTCATTGGAGGCTCCCACAACACACCAGAGGGGAGACTCGCAGCGCTCTCCGCCATTGTCGTAGACTCGCTCGTTCAGTAAATTCAGGAGCGTATTGAGGATGGCCGAGTTGGCCTTAAAGACTTCGTCCAGAAACGCCACCTCGGCATCCGGTAGGTAGCGGGCCACCCTCCTTTCGAGGCGATCCTCTTGCAACGCAGTCAGCGAGAGAGGGCCGAAGACCTCATCAGGGGTAGAGAAGCGCGTGAGCAGCCTCTCAAAGTAACGGGCGGAGCCCAAGGTCGCCAGGCGTCGACAAAGCAAGCTCTTCGCGGTTCCCGGCGGTCCGATCAAAAGCAGGTGTTCCCCAGCCAAAGCTGCCAAAAGAAGCAGCTTTGCCTCGAGTGCCCGGTCGACCAGGCCAGAAGAGAGGAAGATCCGAGCAGGCTCAAGCATCTCCTGCAAAGTCTGCTGCAGCTCCTGATCCGTCGCCGAAGCCGAGGTCGCCGAGATCGTCGTGCCGCCGTTCGTGGCTGGGCTCGCACTTGGACTTGGGCTTGAGCTCGAGTTCGCGCAGGCCACCTTCCTTTGCGAACCGCAGCGCTGCCTTCTGTCGGGAAAACAAAGGCTGAAGAAAGCTGCGGCCCCGACAAACGGCATCAAGGCCTTCGAGGGCCTCAGCAGGCTCCCGGCACAACCGCGTTGCCGGTCCAGCCCAGAGTGCACTTGGCTCGGGCGTTCCGAGTAGCTCGAGGCCCCAAAGGGCATGTAGCATGTATGCGAGATGAACATGGCGGGGTGACCCAAGAATTGGTCTAGGGGCCGCATTTACACCACGAGAAGAGAGAACCTGTGCCAAGAAGTTGCACTGGCCGAAGTTCCAAGTTCAGAGATGCTAGACGAGACCTTCCATGATTCTGCGAAGATCATTGTGAAAGCCGCTGGTTTGAGCGCGCTGCAGCCGATAGGAAGTGGGAGCACAAGCATCCGTTCATCGCCAGCAACATGCGACTTGCAGCTCCGAGCCTCTCATGTGGTAAGAGGCTCTGAATGCTACACCTGCAACCTGAAGCAGAACCGCCCAATGCATTGCCGAGCAGTCCCAAACGGCGTCGGCACGGGTGGCCCGGGCGGCGGCGGCGGCACCGTCGGGACCCCAATGAAAGTCGGGCCCGGCAGCTGCTTCTCCTGACGAATTGTGGGGACAAGTGGGAGGCTCAAGTTTTCAGATCGCGGGGTTGCAGGCTGGATTCGTGGTGCCAGGGATTCTGTGGCTATAGTGCGACTCTGCATCTCCGGTCTGGGCGGAAGGAGTTGACAAGCTGCCGGTTTTCGATCGTGCCTCCGCATGCGCATGGGAATGGCGCAGAAGCCAGAAAGTCAGCAGCAGTCCCAAGTAGCGCATAGCAACGCAGCGCGACTGAGTTCCTCGACCTAGACTAAAAAGCTGTAGAGCTACCATTTCCGAGGGCGTACCAAGATGTCTTCTCTGAAGCGGGCATCGAAGCTCATTTGCGGTTACTACTTGCGCAACTGCAGACCGTGAATTGCTTGCTTGTGCCACCGCTTGACAAAACAGCTGGTCCGGATGGGGCGACGTTCTGCTTCAGTGATGACTTGATCTCTGCATCTACAGCCAGCCTTTGCACACAAGCTCTGCGAACACAGAATTCGGAAGAGAAAGGCTTGCTCGCAAAGAAAAGGGTGGTTCCGGTTCCAGGTGCTCAGTTTTCCGGGGCCTCCAAAAAGCTCTCGCGATTTTTGTGGCAGGCGCAGGCCTGAGGTCCCCCTCCTGCAGCAGAAGGGTTTCAGCGCGAGTTGGCCGCTGCCTGAAGGGAGCTCGGGGGGGGTCAGGGACCTGGGACTTTGCCGAAAGCAATGCTACGGACCCGCCTTCATTCAATGAGTATTCGTAAGCTCATTCAGGGCTTCCAGGCACTCCTAAGGTCTTGAGCTGAGGGCTGAGATGAAGGAGAGATCTCCGATTCAGAATGGACGAGAGGCGAAAAGGCTGAATCAACTCTGAAGATTCCCCCTGAATAACATTTAAAACCTGGGGATTTCCGGCCCGAATTCGATTTGGTTTTGGAGCGCGGTTGCTTAATTTGATCTGACTGTGTCCCTCTACTTCCTCTGCGACAGGCTCACCAATGCCTTCGTAGCCTGAACCCTCCAGATCCCAGGACTTTCATGGAAGGACCCGTCCAAGCATCTATGACAAACAACCCCCATAACTCTCGCCAATTCTCTAACAAGGAGTCAACCGGAAAAGATCCGGCCGTCCGAAGCACCAGGTGGGCACGTCCTGCCGATGAGCTTCGAGCTTCGGTTCCGGTTCTTCGGCAGTCTTCCATGATTACCCATCTTATTCCTTAGAGCTCCTCATTCTAACTTTACCATAATATACTTATTTAGGCCCTATGGCAGTGATTGGTGAATCTCGGATGCGACAACTCCATGCTGCAAAGCCCGAGCTTCGGGTGGCTTTTGTGCGATTCGCGGCTGCCACGAAGCAAACGCGACATCAAGTGTACAATAGCGAAACCGCGAATGTATGCACATGCCGCCGGTACGCGTGTGCGTACATGTACGAACATAAGATTTCACACACACACACATACACAGAAAGCAAAGATGACCATAAGCATTGTATATATTATACGTACATTACATACGTTGGAGTGCATACAGATGACTGTATCTACACCGCCGTTTGCGTGCATGCATGGGTGCTGACAGAACATGCGCATACGTATACATATACGATCACATGCATACATAGATGTATGCACCATCTTCGCCATCATCCTTACAATTGTCAACAGCAACGGAGTGCGTGCTATTGAGCTCGGCCCACTCGCGCTGACCGACGAGGGACGCAAGATCCAGCCTCCCAGGCGATCTTCGCTTCGCGAACGCTGGAGAGAACTGTCTTTGGCCCTGCCAGGCACAGCTCAAGGCGAGGCGTTCAGATCGGTTCAGGATGCCGGGTTCAAGCTTCGACTTCCTCAGGCATGCATGGCTGTCTCCGCTTCCTGTGGAAGGGCGTTGTTGTGCTCCCAGATAGTCCCACACCACAGCTTACAAACCTAGTCTGACAGCAAGTGTCTCAGGCGTGCAGGGAAGTCTTGGACTGTTGATGACCGCTGCTAGACGTCGAACCCTGAACCCCGACCCAACCCGAGTCCTCCGGCCTTGCAATGTGCTCCTCAATGCAGCGCATGTGGCCCTGTTGCAGCTGGCAGTTTGCAACTGCTGCCTAGTGGGAACTCCACTGGTTTCTGTTGCCAGGGCAAGCCCTGACTCCCAAAACCCTAGGTTAGACGTAGCTGGTCTCAGAATGCGACAGCGAAGCTTGGGCCGGCGGGGCCCTGAACTGAGGCGACCAGGGTACCTAAATCAACTTCAAGTACAAATGGAGCCCGTTCCTTTGCTGGTACAGGTGTACTGTAGCCGTAAACCTCCAAGCGCTTGGCTGAATTGCAAAAAATGCTCATTCAGCCCTACATGCGTGCTGTATACCGCCCCTAAACAACTACCACATCAAATGACATTACGCGAAGCTTAAGGGGGAATGGTACCTTTGGCAAGCCCGCACACAGACTTCACCTGAAGTCGCATGTGGATCAGTGCATGTAGCAAGAAAGTCAATTCATGCACCAAACCATGGTCACCATCACATCATCATCATCATCCTCATCCTCATCCTCATCCTCATCCTCGTCCTCATCCTCCTCATCCGCATCATCCTCATCATCCTCATCATCATCATCGACATCATCGTCATCGCTGTCGTCATCATCATGAGCAGCATCATCATCAGCAGCACGACCAGCATCATCGTGACCATCATCATCATCATCATCACCAACAGCATCATCAAAATACTGTAATAATTGATAATCGCCATCGTCCTGACCACCATCTGTAGTGCCAGCTGCACCACCGTCGCTGTCGTAGCAGCCATCAACATCATCGGGAGAAGAAGACTGCCCTTCAACATCATCTCAACACTACAGTACTGACCAGCTGAACAAGCAGAGTCACGGCTTGCAAGCGTATCGCTACTGGTATATATACGAGAGCACCACGGTCTGGAGACGTCCAGGGCTTCCGATTCAGAAGGCTTCCGGTTCCGACGTTGCTCCACAAGGCTTTCGCGCGTTTCGGGGTTCTGCTTGGGATATGTTCGGAGCCTGCTAGGACTGAGGGCCTGGTTTCGGAAGTTGAGGCCACGTGAACTTGGAGCTCCAACTTAGAAAAATGCCTCCAGGCGAGGCCGCAAGAAGGGCCGGTCACCTGCCCATTCTGTTGCATGTTGTGAACACAAATTACGGTTCTGGAAATTTGAAAGCTAAAGGGTTTGGGATCCGGGGCGATCACGGGAATAGATGGATTTGCTGGATCCTGTTTATGCCAACTGTGCAGGTCTGCATTGCTCTCCACGCCGGTGCGCCTGCGGGCTGCCTCCCGACGGCCTGGCCGGGGCAATCTTCTCTCACAGCTTTTTGGCTCACTGGCCGTTATTGCTACGATGCGAGCAAGCACTAGGGATTTTCCAGCAGGGCACGTCCTAGTACCACAACCCCACATCCGACCATAACGGACAGAAACTGAGACTTCTCGACCAGCCTCGAGAATCCGTTCGTGCCTTGCCTGGGTGATCGGAGGCCACAAGTTCTGCGTTCGTGAGCTCGGTCTGATGAAACTTCTTGTTATGCAGTTTCGGCTCACCAGCTAAGGCTGAGGGCAACGAAGAGAAACATGCATGACTGGAGAGAGTTGCCTCAAGCGATATCAGCGTCATCATCAGTGTTGTTGTCACACTCCTCCTCCTCCTCATCATCACCATCGCCCTGAGGAGCTAATCATTGCTAGTCATGTTGTAGATGCAGACAAATATTTTGCTTCCTGCCGGTTGATTGCTTCCAAGGCACCCGTCTTTCGGCTGCATCGATGGCGGCATTTGCACTAGAAGCCTTGCAGAATGCATCATTTCTAACTTGGGCTTCTCTGGCGTCTTTAACTTATCGTTGGCATCATGGGCCAGGGCCCGCAATGCGAGACACTGACCGAAGCGTGCAGCTGCTTCCCAGGACGGAGGTCTCATGAGGTCTCATGATCTCTGCCTGGTTGAATGAAAAGCGGGACCCTGCAAAACCTGCCCCCGAACGCTGTCCAGCAGTGCCCGGGGTCTTCTGACATAAAACCCAAACCCACAAACACACACATCCGGAACCCCCCAAACATCCCCAAAACCCTGAATCATTGAAATCCTGAGCCGCAAAACCCTAAACCCTAAACCCCAAGCACGACGACACCTCTGCCAGCCGACGGATGCGCTCCGACTCGCGGCCAGGGGAAGCCGCTCCTGCACAGGGGCTCCTCCTTAATGTAGGGGCCCTACAATAGTTAGAATAGTATTTTGGGGGGGTTTCCTTATTATAATAGAGCCCTGTAAGATCACCATAATGTAGGGGCCTTAACAATTAAAATAGGGTCTTGGGGCCCATTATACGACAATTATGGTGAGGACCCCCCAAAAATAGTATAGGCAATTATTTATGCCCCTACATTACCTTACTCTCCGACAGCCACGGGTGCCAGGAATTGAGACTTTCAAGCACCGGCTGGAGTCGGAGTAGCAGACTCTGCTGAAGTGCTCTGGAAGTCTGAAGGCGGGCAGGTTCATAACTTCGGCGCAGTGAACACGAATAGGTGGACCCCTAGCAAACACAAAACACACATCAGCCAGCGGAAAACCAGACAACGGACAGAATTGCAGACTACAGATTTTCGGCCATCTTGTCAGCTCGCAGTCTTTATGAAATGCTCCAGAGAAAGCTGGGTTCTTGAACCTGGGAGGAAGATTGGAAGTTCAAGAAACCGCAGGGGATGCGCCTGTGACCTCTTGCAGACGAGCGTGCTGCCTGCAGAGCAGGCACAGCAGAAGTCTCTTGGCCTGCCTGGGTGACCATGCCATGTCCGGCTATCGTAGCATGTAACGGCCTAAGATACCCTGTGCTCAGAACCGGCGCAAATAGCGCAAAGGTGTGCATGTCAAGAGTCTGCACGCCCCACAGGCATACGTACAACCACACACATGTCTCTGCCTGTATATACAAGTACATGTACAGATGCATGCATGGCAGATACATATGTACAGAGAAGATAGAGTACAGTGGAGTGTTTGGCGCTGGGGGTGGGCTTGGCTCACAATCAGGTCAGATGGTATCCTACAGCTGGCTAGCTTGTCACACTCATGCAGCTCCCAGATTGGCAAACAGGAGTGCCTCAGCAATTCTTTGGCCTTGGCAGTTCGCTCCTTCATGGCGTTGACCTGCCGTGTTTGCTGGAGCAGAAAGTAAAAAGTCTGGTTGACACGACTACAGTCATCTGTTTCTTCCTGCAAGGTGCCAAGGGATTTGTTTTAGATTCCCTATGTCCTACTGGAAAGAGGACACACCCAGACTTCAAAAGCAATCCAATTAAACACCTGCAGCAGCTTGAAGATTTAAATGCAAGAACATGTTGCATCCGCATATATTCACTGTAGCTGACGAACCTCGAATCTGTTTGCTTGGCTGAATATTCGACCACTCGTAGCGGCTGAAAGCATGTCATGACAAGGTCACGAACACATTTCAATTGGCCTGTGCAGTAAACTCAGCTAAGCTGCCTGGGTACTACACTCGCCTCATCAAATCTCATCAATGCTCCTGAAACGGATGAGTGAAAGTACATGTGCTAAATGTGGCTAAATATATGCAGAATTACATGTATGCACAATATTACTCTGACAATATTACTCTAATATTACTCTGCACAATATTACTCTAGATTCTAGACAAGATGCATACATACATATACATACACATGCACATAAACATGTATACAGATACATATACATATACCTTTGCCTATACGTATACCGTATACATATACATTTTTATACATACATACTAAATACTACTAGCCACCTTTGCACAGACGCACGTACTCTCTTTATGGCAGGCACGCCAACCATTATACATTCCATCCCATCTCAGCCAACACTGGGCCTCGTCCGTTAGCCGGTCGAGCTCCTTGTCCCGTTCCTCACGCGCTGCCTCCTCCTTTGCAGCCTGCGGCAATGGAAGACTCGGGCTGGGCAAAGAGGGGACCCCGCGTGCTCATGCCGGGCACGGGAGCACGAGCCCTAAGCCTTTCATCTTTAGCTGCGCGCCTCAGCCTCAAGCTCCTTCTTCAGCGCCACGGCCCGGAGTGCCACCTTTCTGGGATGTCCAGAGAAAGCCGAAGGACTCATGGCCCAGGTCTTAACGGGGGTGCTCGCCGGAAAGGTCGAGAGACTCTCACTCGCAACTGCACGGCATTTTGGCGCTAGGCTGGCTCTGTCCTACCGCAGTCTGCCTCTTGCAGATGCGCAATGCCGGTCGGCTCGAGGCCTAATACAGGGGCCTTAGTAATTACAGTAGAATAAGGTTTTGGGGCCCAGTATACTATAATTATAATAAGGAGCCCCCAAAATAGTGTAGGTAATTACTAAGGCCCCTATACTATGTACATGAGCCCGCACTTGTAGTCGGGACTTCTTATCATGATGCTACGTGGTGGAGCTGTGCGTGTCCAGGCGTTTAGAAGCTAGCAGACCAAAACCGGCTCGGGGTGGGGGAGGAGGGGGGGACTTTTCGCGTTTTTCCAGTCCGGGAGCAGAGCTGCAGGCACATACTCTGCTTTTGGTGTTTGGTGCTTCCACCCCGACGAAACCTTTTCGCTTCCTGGGCTTGTGGCTCTTGAGGGTCTGTCTATTTGCTTGAAGATCCTACACCCGAATCAGGAGGGAGTTGGATCAAGGGCTTGCGTTGTCAAAACCCATCCAAGAACTGTGCCATCCAGCGGTGCCAGACGACATCTTGCTTGAATTTTTGCGCAAGCATTAGCGAAGCCACCATTCGGGGATCTGACTTCAAGTGAAACATCCGGGAGTTTGCAAGAAACAGCGTATGTCAGGCGGGTGGAGGTGCAAAGAAACGAGTATGTAACACTCAGATGACCGGGATAGGCTTACAAGGCTTGCCTCATGCCCGAGTGCTCAAACCCACTTCCCAAAACCCTAAAATGTTAGAAAGGCACCTTTCTCTAGCATTCTTCAGCAACCAAACCCGGACACATAAGGACGTTCTCGGAGTCAGTCAAGCTGGCAGATGCTTGGGCAGCAAGCCGGGCCTGATGCTGACAGGCCTATTACAGCTGTTTACCTCATGCCCTACCTCTGACTGTATGCTTCGTTCATGCCTCACAATCTTCAAACATGGTTTCAAATCAATTTCGTCAGAACAGAGTCGAATCCTTGCTTCCCTTCGTGGAATCAGCAAAACCTCACAAGTAATTACTTTGAAAGCATGATCCAAGCGACATGGTTAGGACATCCATCGTCTCCTTGTTGTAGCTTAACGTGAAGCGATGTGAAGCGAGGCAATAAATGATGACTCAGATAGAGTATTATACATCAATACCACTTAGCACTTATCCGACTTCCCCATGGAAGCAAGCAGCCAGCTCAACAACGGAAGTCTAAGCTTCGATTTCGTTAGAACCATGAACCGAAATTGTCTTCAGCTCTAGACGCCTGTTGCACGTGACTTCGAACTTGCATCCTGACTGAGGGTTGAGGGTCTCACTATCACCGAGATGTTCAAGTATAATATGTGATAGTATAGTACAGTGTGTAGTACTGAAGTATAATAAACAGTATCGTATACTATAATCGTATCAGTATAGTTTAGTCTAGCATCTAACATGCTCCAAAGCTGAAATCCTCAGAAGTCTCTTCATCTTCGAATCCCACGCCTGTAGTTGCCTCGCGGGTTCGCGGAATGGGCTTTGGAGCGCTCCGGAGCATCTGGCCGCGGGGAAGGCGTGCTTTGCAGGGCAGGAGTTGATCGGGTTCCCCAAAACCCTAAACCCTAAACCCTAAACCCAAAACCCTAAACCCTCATTTACAGTGGCTGCTTTTGGAAAGGACTGGAAATTGGAGTTTGGACTTGAAAGTCTTCGGCAAGCACCAAGGTACATGGAAGCATCCGTTTACCTCCACGCTGTGACTGTGACACACTGAGATTGAACACGAAACGCTGACATCTAAGATCCAAAACCCCAAAGTGCTTTTTTTTTTCCGGGCCTTGGTGATGCTCGTTCGCAACACTTCCTCCCATGAGTGCTGCAGGTCGCATGCTCACCGGCAAACTCACAGGCAAAGTACTTTATGGTAGTTCAGTTCCCTACAATGACAAATTACAAGGCCTCATACCACAGAGTTCGGGTCCTGCTGCACCATGCTTTGCTGCAGAAGGTTCAGGGAAGCGACCTTGGCTGGACACGGCTACGGGTAAAAAGGACTGCTAGCTGGGGATGGACTCACGGATCGAAGTATCCAGAATGGGACCTACATCGGCCCGTTTGGCCATGGCAGGATAGGTTTGGCCAGTATCATCCATCATCATCATCATCATCGTGGAGCTCGATCTTTAGCATCCTCAGAACAAGGGCACGACTGGAGCTATGGCCAAACGGAAGCGTGGCACACTGTTGTGTGTGTGCCCGGAAGCCCCCGATCCGGAAAGCCCTTCGAAGTCCTTCGGGGAGACTGACTTCCCTGAGGTGCTCGAGAGGCGCTGTCATCTTCCCAGTTCGCGGATCGCTATTTTGAGTTGCAGGACTCGTGGGCTGACCATTCTACTACATAAGCCCAAGAAGGTTTTTTGTAATAAAAAGCCTTGGGATCTTATAAAAAAACCATTCTACTACATAAGCCCTTCCTCAGGCAACCTTTGATTCTTCGTGGCTGCAACATGGCCATGGATGCTGGCAGGGTGCCTGCGCAGCTGAATTGTCGCGCAAAGACAGGACCTGCCCGAGTGGCTTGCGGAGACAAATGCACCGACTGGTGGGCCTCTCGACTCTCGACTACAGTACCTGAGTACCTTGTCCAGTTGCGTCTTGCAGTGCGAATCATTTCTCAAAGCCAGAGTGACACGAGCAGGAAGCCGCAAACCAGTTCTGATCCGGGCCTTGCCCACCAGCGGTCGACCGCTGTCCTCGTGCACGAACTCAACTAGTGCGCCGGGACTGAGCGAGTCCCACAAAGCCCTGGGCAGATGAGAAGTGGCTTGTAGCATGTGCTGCACTTGAAGGACATGCTTGTGTCAAGTATTGTAGGATATGTGCAAACGACCTGCAAAACTTCTACGGTATGGTGGGGGAAGGCCAGTCAAGTCATACAGACTTTCAGAGGGAATTCAGGCCGGCTGGCCTCGCTGCCTCACCACCGTCTGTAGACCTGCCATCCTGAGACAAGCAGGTTTTGCAGCTTGCCTCGAAGAGGCCAAACACTCGTGACAGCAGCAGAACCACCGGCAACACATGGCAACACGGCTGATCTTAAGAATCCAACCTCGCTAGTCTTACTGATAATGCATAGGCCGGCTCGGTATCAAAAGATTTTGGGAAGAATCGTGGGTTCGGGGGCTTGGCTCTAGTCTCCGGTCGTAAATCCAAAACTCACACGGGGGTTTCGTAATCTCGGAAAATAAGGGGCGCTGTATTACAGACCCCACAAGTCGTAGGATCCTCATCATAAAGACCGTGACAAGGAGGCATCGCCCAAGTTCAAGACACTTGAGGAAACCTCCCAACTTCCCAGCGTCCTTGGACTCGAAGCCTCCCAACCAACGGTTCAGCAGGGGTCGCAAAGCCCGGGCAGTAATGGTCTGCATGACCTTGGAGCTTTCAGGTGCAGGCTTTGGGGCCCGAAGGCTTATAAGCCCCTAGGCCCTAATCCTCAACCACACATCCTTTCAGGGCTTCGGGATCCTAGGTTTTGGGCTCTTGGGCTCTTCAGGTAATCTCTTGTTGAACCCAGGGTTCCAGGGTTGTCACCTCTGTTCAGGGCAGCGGTCTTCGACGTCCAAAGGCACCGGGCCACGCCTCTGGGCCCAAGCTGCCCGAAGTTAAAGAATATCTCCCAAGGCCCTACGAATTCCTTCCGTGCACTGTGCTTCGAACCATGTCCGGCTGCTTGAGCACCTCGTCAGGGATGTGCCTTGGCTAGGGTTTCGTCACAGCGGTACAGTACGCACACACACACACACACACGCACACACACCGCATGTAGACAGCTCCATGGTGGTAGTCGTGGTGCCCGTAATGGTGGCGTCCTGAGGGCCGGTCTGGCTGCTGACTGCCTTGCTTGGTGTGTGTGTGTGTGTGGCTGCTGCTGGTGAAGACCGAGTTTGAGCCTGCAGTTTACCCCGCAAATTTCTCTATGCCCCGCTCTGCTTGACGGGACGATTGCTCATTCTACAATTGTGCCAAGATACTGCACAAAGATATTACATAATTCTACTATGCTACGCTATGCCAATCTTGTCCATCCCCTCTTGGGTGCAGGGCTCATTTCGCAGGAACATGTGCAGCTTCTCCGAGAAGTGATTGCAGTTGTGAGTCCTGGCCGGCTTTTGCACTCGGTCAGACCTGCGCCCAACTATATACCAGGCCTCAAAGCTTTGCCCTCAAGGTTGCCTTTCTTGCTGAAGCCGACAGGTCGCATTAAGCCCAACTCATCGGAGCCCGTAAAGTTCAACAATCCCCCCCGCACCATAACCAGCAGAACATGACATCATACCTCTTAGGCCCGGGCAGCACGTCGTAGTTCTCGCGGGTGAACTCAGAAGCACAGTGCCTGGCCGTCGATCTTCTTCTCAGTCCAACAGCAAAGCCCTGAAACCCAAGCTCCCAAGCCGCGCAAGCAGCTGAGGACCCCAAACCCACCCCCCCACCCTTCAAAAAAAACCAAAAACAAGAAAGCACAGTGCCGGGAAGCCTCAACACCCTTCCCCCCTGAGCCCAGCCGACCCTCCAAAAAGCCTCAACCGGGGGGCGCCGGGCCTGGTGAGGTACTCCCAGGTTTCTGCACGCCTCTTGTAGGTGTAGCCCAAGAACCTTCGAGGAGGGACAGCAAAACTAGCAACAACACAAGTAGGGTTATAATTGGGGTAACTCCATTTAGGGTACTTATAACTCTACTTATAACCTACTTACTAAGTCCCAGTATGTACCAATCTTGATAATATGGTATTCATGATGGTTAATGATAAGAACTGTCTTAAGATCAATATGAGCACGATGAGAATCAGACTAGGAAATAGCTCCCAAACTCCAAGCTCACTTCTCAATGTCGGGCCCTAGGTTTCTGGAAGGAATGGGGCTTGGCACGGAGGGCTTCAGGGTTTCAGGCCTCGGAGCCGGACCTTCGAGCCTGTTAAACATACCGTTGCAGACTGATTGTACCTGGGCTTTAGGGTTTAGGGCTTTAGGGTTTAGGGGTTTAGGGTTTAGGGGTTTAGGGTTTAGGGGTTTAGGGGTTGTCGATGTTGTGGGAACATGAAGCAGCCCACAGCGAGCGGTGGCAGCGGCCGCGATGGCGGCAGCAGAAGCAGCAGCAGCGTCAACCCGAAACGAAAGGTGGCAGCTACTCTTCGCTGTCCGGCCTCCTCTCCACCGGCTCTCCGAAAGGAGTGGTCCTCTGACGGCGAAAGTTGTTGCTTCAATCTGCTCTAGTATTGGTAAAACACCCCGCAACTCCTTCCGTGGAAGGTTAGGGTCCTGGCCCTTCACAACAACAGGGACCCTGACTATGGACCCTCGATCTGAAAAGAATCTCCGTCTTCGAACCCCCCCCCCCCCACCCCCACCGAAACTGAACATGGAGGCCACAACCCCGTTTCCCCAAAGCCGCACCCGGGCTGGGAGTCGAAGATGCGGCCCCCGAACCAAAATTCCGAGCCTGGGCTGTGTCTGGGGCAAGCTTTGGAGATCAGGCTCCACGAGGTGGAAGGTTCGGGGATCTTTTTCGGGTTTGGCACAGGGCTTGAGAGGGTTTGAGCTCAGGCAAAGAGTTCACTCACATCCTCAGGTTTCTCTGGAATTTTCGGAGGGAGTTTCGAACCGTCTCGTGGCCCGCTCAACGGGTTTCGCAGAGAGGGCGGTGGGATCAAACAAAACTCTCGAGGCCCACCTGACACTTCGAGGGCTTCCGCGCTTCTGGCTCGCTGCGCTGGGACTCCGGTATTTAATCCGAACACAGACGCTCCGTCGCAGGCTCAATCATCCAATACCTGGGCCCCAAAGAACCTAGGATATTAGGGGTTAAGGTAAGCCAAATCGAAGTTGATGTCAGTTGCAAGCATTTGAAGAACTCGGGCAGATTGGGCTTACATGAAGTCCCAGTATTCACACGGTGAGGCTCCGAAAGCTGCAACCAGAAAGACTTCAACGAAACCCCGGACCTCCAGCTGAAACCCTGCCTTTAATCCTCGATTTCGAAACTTCATACCCGAAACCGTGCTCAGGACGGAGCTTTTATCCGGCCACTCCACCACAACGCCAGTGTGCCAGATGCCCTGCCAAGTACATTGCGGGGGGGAGCGCACCATATAGCTCTGGATTGCGAGACTGCTTTGGCGCTTGTGCGGCGCCTCTTCTTTCCAATCTGCTTGATGCTGTGTATCCAGTACATATATTTAGCTCTCCTAATTCCGGATCGTATAGTACCAGACGCACAACTGCAAGAGACAGGCTCACGGAGGTGACTTCATGCAGAGCAGCCATTGCCCAAGCAAAGCAGGCTGCTGCCTTAAAATCCTTCCCAAGCAGCAGCCATGACCACCGCGCAGCAAAGCCATCCGATATGTCGTACATCCAGAGGTAGACTTTGTACCTCTGCATGGCTTCGTCCACTGCGAAAACTCGTGCTCTTGGTAGTACCAGTAGCAACAAAAAGCACTAATTGACGTCAACCCTCTGTTTCTGAGGGAGGTTCAACAAACTCAGCCGTCCAACCAAACTTCAACGCCGCGGACATGCCTCTTGCGTCCGAACATGACGTTCAGGTAGTCGCAGTAGCTCAGAACCTCTGGGCATGCAAGTGGCGCGAGTCGTGCCCAAGCCTATTTAGGATTTATATAGGGCTTTGGGTGGCAGAGCGCCGGCGTTGTGCTTGTAGGGTCTACATGGTTTGGTGTTTGTGCATATCTGCTACACGCGGAGAGGCGAACACCTGTGGACATTTGATCGTCCATGGCCACAGGTTCAGCTTGCAAATCGGGCCCTCTGTGTCGGAACATGGTGGGCTCAGCAGCCAGGACACAATCGAGGATTACACTCGGCCGCTTAAGGATGAGTACAAGCTGGTCATGATTCATCTTGGGACTGACGGCGTCGCAGGTTACCTTAGTTAACATTGACATCAAGCCCTGCGACACAGGCAGCCCGGCCTCATCTTCCTCCAAGACCTCTTCGCCGGCAGCATGCTGCCTGGCACCGTCAAGCTTCCAGTCACGCTCGCTGTATATGCAAGGTCGTACCAGTATCTAACAGGCTGAAGACCAGATATAACCTGCAAGCGATGCCAAACACCCATCCCCACCGAAAACACCGGATTCTGCTTGACTTTCTGCTTCACACAGAGCTTCTTGCAAGAGGTCATGCCCAGCTTGGCTACAAAAGCGCATGGACATCCAAATCAGTGCCGAAGCATTGCCAGGTATGCCCCAAGAGCTCCTTGGCCCACTGCTTCTCCAGGACGTCTGACCACATGCAAGCTGAAGCAAAAAATATAAACCGCCGACGCTGCGCTCACACGAAGCTTGCTAGCATGGCCCTGGCAAGGCCTATGGCAACATGTCAATGCGAAGCATTGAACAGCAAGCACGACCTGGAAGCCCAAGCCTGCTGGGGAAGCAGCCAGCCGCTCGCAAGCCTGGAATGTAGTAGGTCCGGTCCGTCTACTACTTCACAGCTGCAGTGATACTTTCAAAGACGAATGGAGCACCATGGCCAAACATCGGCACCAGCAACAAGAACAATGAAGGAGTAGTATGCAGTAGTCGTGCCGTCTCGTCGTCGTCATTATGCATCTGATGAGCATCAGCATCACCACCACCACCACCACCACCACCACCACCACCACCACCACCACCACCACCAACGCCACCACCTCCTTCTCCGCCTCCTCAGCTATCAATCACCAACCACTACCACCGCCGATCCCCCACCACCACTTCCACCACCACCACCGCCACCGCCGCCGCCACCGCCCCCGACCGTGACCGTCACCAGCATCAGCCTCATTCTCAGGATCAACATTGACATCAACATCAACTTCGTCATCATCAACATCACCATCACCGTCATCCGTCATCAGCATCATCACCTTCAGCATCGTCATCATCATCATCATCATCCCTATCAGCGGTTTAACCTTTCCAACCAATGAGCACACACAGGGGGCATGAGGAATGAACGCCCCGGCACGAAACAAGCTTGCGCCCAAAAAAGCTGGCCCATGCAGCCCGTGCTTGGGGACTTGGAGCCTTCCTTACATAAGCGCAGCCCGCAAAAGACCCGCGCCCAAGTCCAAGACTTAGGTTGCCCCGTCGAACCTTCAGAAGGCCAGCACTGGTGAGGCCGTGGGCCTGGGATCCACGCTCTTCGGGGCTGATGCTGTGAATGTACAATGCATGGCAGTTCATGTGGCACCTAAGGAAAGATGCCTCTAGCATTGAAGCTGGTGGCCTTCGCTCCATATTGCTTTTGCAGGTAGTTAGAAGTAACGGCTTCGTAGAATTTAGTGCTGCTCCACTGGGTCACGTTGCATTAAAGCCACCAAACGACGGACCACAGTCAAGGGTACTGAATGGTACGGTGTTGAGCTGCTAGAGCGTTGGTGGTTTCCCTGTGTCGACATGCAAGGCCCCTTCCAGGTTAGCCAAGCAGCCTCAAGCCCGCACAGAGACTGAGGCCCCTGCACCTGTGTCGCCAGAGTCGCCGACTGCTGTCTCAAAGTGCATCTGCATACGCCCAAGCACCTGCCACATGGATGATGGATTCCAAGTTTTCATTCTCATGGTGAAGCTTGAAGAATCGGGTTGTGCGCAGGTGCTGCGGCTGCAGCCTGCAACGCTCTGTGCCGAAAGGGTCCTAAATAAAGAAAGCCCGAAGTCCGTCAATGCCCGGGGGGTTGGAGCCTGGGAGTCTGACTTCAACGCCCGCGTGAGCTGCTGGTTCACCTGTGAACTGCCGTGGAAGAGTGGCGGGCTTCTGCTTGGAACTGTAAGTTTCCTGTCGACGCACTCTGAAGGAGTTGCTTGTATATATGCCCTTGGCTGTGATATGAGCTTCACGAAGTCATGGCAAGGACCAACTCTGAGTCGCTCCTTGCATAAGGGCCTCCAGCGCTGAATGGTACGAGCCATTGTCCCGCTCCAAGGCCCAGTAATGGTTCCTTAGATGGACTCGGACTCGAAGCATTTCGGACTTAGCGGGGTTCGGGGTTTGGGCCGTTCATGGCTGTTCTGTGGAGTTGGGGCTGTTGACACTCGAAACTGTCTCGGAGAACTGTTACCATGATTCGACCAGCTCGCTTCGCTGCACTACCCTCGACCGTTTGACAATACCCCGAAATCCCGTGCTCGTGCCGTTTCGTTTAGTGCATGAACCGCTCTGGGCCCCGGACCAGCAGGTCATGTCGATCTGCTGCCCGCCGCGCAGGTCCATCTCCTGCTGCGTGTTCAGAAATTATAGTCAGTTAGAGGGAGCTGTGAGTACATAGACAGAGCATTCCGGTCTCATGCTGTAAATCTCCTGTGTCAGACTTTCTAGACCTCCTGTGTGAACGAGCAACCCTGCATACACATGAAAGAGACATCCTCACTAACATGATGTAGGTTATTCATATACCGATTGCGGATTTCGTCGTATGCATGTACGTATATTTCACACTGGGCTTGCGTGAGAGAGTGTGTAGCTAACCAAATCATGCTATACCGATGTCTGTTGTCGTCCTTGTATTTACACCAGCACCGACAGTGAGCTCTTCCAGTTTACCCAGTGCATAGTGAGTGCTGCACGCATGCATGCAAAGCATGCAAAGCATGCACATATATATATATATATACACATCTTTATACATATGCACATACATGCACAAACACAGCACAAACGCATACACATTAGCCTGCATGCAGACGTACACGCACCCCTACATGTGCATACTCATTTATTATATATGCTGCACGTATACGACCATGTGTATGTATATGCGTTTGTGTATGTGCAAGCATAATATGTATACGCTCATGTTTATGCACACAGGGTGTTGTCCGTGCCTTGTTCTTTTGGAGGGTTTGTTGTGGGGGGAGGGCCAGGGGGGAGGCAGAGAAAAGGACAGAAGGACGAGACAAACGACCTATCGACGACAAACAGATCGACAAAAAATCAACAAAGCACATTCAGTTCAGGAAGAAGGAGCAAACAAAAGAAAGAAAGACCAGAACGAAGGAAACGACTAAGATTAGAAAGAGAGAGAGAGCGAGAAGAGAAAGACTGGGCAGAACACTGTTTGTTGACAGTGCTTTTGCCTCTGCGAGCCTCTTTGCGCACCAAGCTGCTACAAGCAGTAAGGAATCAAGGCAGCACGCCAAGCACTAACTTGCATCCAAGCACTCCAAAGCCAAAAGCCCTATAATATTACAATCCCAACGAGACCGTGATGCGACTGGGAGTGCGGAAACCATGCGTTTATCAACATGTCACAAACAAAAGAGCTAATATCGTGATGTCCGAAAAACTCGGTGCCATGCTCACAAAACATCGGCAGGCGTGGCTCAGCACAAGTTGCACAATGCAAAATAATGTCTCATCTCGAGTCGGTGCCTTTGTGACCGCTGCGGCCGTCAGTTGCAAAAGCAGACTATCCTCCTTGCCAGGTCGCATGCAGCAACCCAAGCTTCAGTTTTCTGTGGCGGTTCATTACATTGTCAAGGATTCGTAGGGCTGAGCTTCAATGGCTTCAGTCGCAAGACAAGTAAGCAACACTGCACTTGCAAAGCTGGAATCAGAATTCCAGCTCGGAGTCAGCCCTGTTTAGAACTGCACATGAGCTGCCATAGTTTAGGGTTTGGGGCCAGTTCAGGGTGCGAACATTCGCGGGCGAATGCAACGAAGCTTAACGTGCAGCTTCGGGTTTAGGCTGGGTTTGTGGTTTAAGATTTCAAGATCTTGGCCGAATGGGGGATTCGGGATTGTAGGATCTTGGGGTTTAGTTTTTTTTTTTTTTT